TAACTCATAATTGTTTAAACAGTTGGGCAATTTACAGAACGCAAGGGTCAAACACTGATAGTTTTGTAGACTGTATCGAAAGACTTTTCTCAAAACTTCAGCAAAAGGACATCTTCTGTGCGGAGACTTTAACACTGACTTTTTGAAATGTAATGATCATTAACCAACAGAAAATTTCATAAATACTTTGTATAGTCTATTGTAACGCGTAGTTGGCTTGGCGGTCTGACTGCAATATTAAGTTGTTCAGAAGTAGATTCGCTGAAGAGCCATAGGGTAAGTGAATGAAGAGCGGACACTTGTTAAAGTTTATAATATGAGAAATTGTATTATATTTTTAAGTTGGCAATAATAATAATAATAATAATAATAATAATAATAATAACAACAATATAATATAGACTTATTTATACTTTGGATATATATATGTATTATAAATAGGACAGATATGACATAATAAACAAAGCAAAAAACAAAACAGACAATTGAGAGTCCTGTGAGATCATATATTGTCTTTTTTATGGGGGGGAGGTTTAGTTCACTAGTCGTATTGACTGAGATTCAAAGTTCTTGAGAGTCTTTCTTGAAGTATAGATCCAGTGAAATAGAGGGGAAAAAATATATATATATATATATATATATATATATATATATATATGAGTGATTTAAAAAAGGACCTGAGGACGGGAATGGGAGGGCATCTGACACACAGGGCTATAGGAGGATGGGGTTTAAACTTATAACTACTACTACTGCTATGTTCCACAGTATTAAACAAATATATCTTGTGTTTATACTACAACTGGTGTCTTTATTTCTCAAAACTACTGTAAAAACATGTATTTTTACTGGTCCCTGGTTTAGTCCTGGTTTAGACCTGGTTTAGACCTGGTTTCCTGGTTTAGTCCTGGTTTAGACCTGGTTTACCTGGTTTACCTGGTTTACCTGGTTTAGTCCTGGTTTAGTCCTGGTTTAGTCCTGGTTTAGACCTGGTTTAGACCTGGTTTAGACCTGGTTTAGTCCTGGTTTAGTCCTGGTTTAGTCCTGGTTTAGTCCTGGTTTAGACCTGGTTTAGTCCTGGTTTAGACCTGGTTTAGTCCCCTGGTTTAGACCTGGTTTAGACCTGGTTTAGACCTGGTTTAGTCCTGGTTTAGTCCTGTTTAGTGGTTTAGTCCTGGTTTAGACCTGGTTTAGACCTGGTTTAGACCTGGTTTAGTCCTGGTTTAGTCCTGGTTTAGACCTGGTTTAGACCTGGTTTAGTCCTGGTTTAGACCTGGTTTAGACCTGGTTTAGACCTGGTTTACCTGGTTTCCTGGTTTAGTCCTGGTTTAGACCTGGTTTAGTCCTGGTTTAGACCTGGTTTAGACCTGGTTTAGACCTGGTTTAGTCCTGGTTTAGTCCTGGTTTAGACCTGGTTTAGACCTGGTTTAGTCCTGGTTTAGACCTGGTTTAGTCCTGGTTTAGACCTGGTTTAGACCTGGTTTAGTCCTGTTTAAAGTCGTCTAAAACAGCCCACAGTATTTAACCCTGTGTATAAAATTCTATTCCACTCGACTTCATGTAAACTGATCTCAGACTGTACAGTTGTTGAAAAGTCCAGTGTAGAGGAGTGAAAAATAGAAACATTAAATGAATAAAGAATGAAAATCACTAAGTCCAGTTGAATGAATTTATTGCAGAGGTCTTCAACAGGGGGTCTGTCTCTCTCTCTCGCTCTTCATCCCTTCATCTCTCGCGCTCTGTCAAACTGCAAACACGTCGACCCGGATTTTGTCGTTTCTTGTTCTGTACATGAGAAAAGTTCCGTTACAGGTTCACCTTTACGCACAGCGGAACTGAAGATCCACACGTCCGGGAGAGGAGGAACAGAAAGGTGAGAGGGAGAGAAGAGCCGTTCTTGGTCTGAGCCGTCCCCCAGCAGCACGGCTCCTGGGATCATTCAGGCTCCGAAACCCCTCCACCACGGTAAGGTGACGACTCAAGGAGGGGAGGAAAAAGGAGACGACAGGACAGGACACGACGGGAGGAAAAAGAAAACAAGAAAGAAACAGAGAGAAACAGAGAGAACAGAGAGAGAGGGGGTTAGACAGAGAGAGGGTTAGAGAGAGAGGGAGAGAGAGAGAGGGAGAGGGTTAGAGAGAAGGAGAGAGAGAGAAAGAGAGGGAGAGATAGAGAGAGGGTTAGAGAGATGGAGATTGAGAGAGAGAGAGGGAGCGAGAGATGGTTAGAGAGAGAGAGACGGAGAGAGAGTTAGAGAGAGGGAGAGAGAGAGAGAGGGTTAGAGAGAGAGAAAGAGAGGGAGAGAGATAGAGAGAGGATTAGAGAGAGAGAGAGAGAGAGAGATGGTTAGAGAGAGAGAGAGGGAGAGAGAGAGAGAGAGAGAGAGGCGGGGTTAGAGAGAGAGAAAGAGAGGGAGAGATAGAGAGAGGATAAGAGAGAGAGAGGGGGAGAGACAGAGAGAGGGTTAGAGGAGGAGAGAGAGGAGAGGAGAGAGAGAGAGAGAGAGAGAGAGAGGAGAGAGAGAGAGAGAGAGGAGAGAGAGAGAGAGAGAGAGAGAGAAAGGGTTAGAGAGAGAGAGAGAGAGAAGGTTAGAGAGAAGGAGAGAGGGAGGGAGAGAGAGAAAGAGAGGGAGAGATAGAGAGAGGGTTAGAGAGAGGGAGAGAAAGAGAGGGAGAGAGGGTTAGAGAGAGGGAGAGAGAGGGAGAGAGATTGAGAGAGAGAGAAAGGGTTAGAGAGAGAGAGAGAGAGGAGAGAGATTGAGAGAGAGAAAGGGTTAGAGAGAGAGAGAGAGAGAGAGAGAGAGAGAGAGAGAGAAGGAGAGAGAGGGGGGGGTTAGAGAGAGTGAAAGAGACGGTTAGAGAGAGAGAGAGAGGGAGAGACAGGAGAGGATTAGAGAGAGGGAGAGTTAGAGAGAGGGTTAGAGAGAAGGAGAGAGAGAGAGAGATTGAGAGAGAGAGAGGGTTAGAGAGAGAGGGAGTTAGAGAGATGGAGAGAGAGAGGGTTAGAGAGAGGGAGAGAGAGAGGGGGGGTTAAAGAGAGGGAGAAAGAGAGAAAGGGTTAGAGAGAGAGAGGGAGAGAGAGGGTTAGAGAGAGGGAGAGAGAGAGAGGGTGAGAGAGAGAGGGGGAGAGGGAAAGGGAGAGAGGGAAAGAGGGTTAGAGAGAGGGAGGGAGACAAGGAGAGAGAGAGGGGGAGAGAGGAAGAGAAAGAAGGAGAGTGACAAGAGAAAGGGAGCAAAAGACAGAGTGAGGGAGAGAGAGAAGACAGAGGGAGAAAGAGAAGCAGGAGAGAGAGAAAAGGAGAAGCGAGAGATGGAGGGAGAGGGAGGGAGAAGGAAGAGCTAGCGCTTCAGGAAAGACAAAACCCAAGAGCAGAAAGACCTGCAAGCTGCAAGAAGAGAAACAAGAGGAGCAGCGGGCGGGGGCCTGGCAGGAGCAACAGGGCTGTACCTGGAACGCCCACAACGAACGGCACGGGGACACCTAGAAGGAGGAGCAGAGCGGGGCAAAGCAGGAGCAGGGAGAGACACAGCAGAAGAGGTAGGGGTAGGCAAAGCAGGAGCAGCAGGCAGGTGCGTGACAGGAGCAGCAAAGAGGGAAACAGTAGGCGGAGGTGTAGAGGGCTTGGGGCGCCTGGCAAGAGAAGAGAAGAAGGGCAAAGGACGAGGCTCCAGGAAAGGCTTAAGAGAAGGAGGAGGAGGAGGAGTGAGGGTCACACGAGGAGGAAGGACAAGCTGAGCAGTAGAAGCAGAGACGGGTTTTGGACGCCTCACAGGAGCAGCTCGGCCGACCGAAGCAGCGGGCGCGGCAGGAGCGGCGGGCGCGGCAAGAGCGGCGGGCGCGGCAAGAGCGGCGGGCGGCGGCGGCGCGGCAGAGCGGCGGGCGCGGAGAGCGGCGGCGCGGCGGGCGCGCAAGAGCAGCGGAGCGGCGGGCGCGGCAAGAGCGGCGGGCGGGCGTGTGGCAAGAGCAGCGGGGCGCGGCGGGCGCGGCAAGAGCGGCGGGCGCGGCAAGAGCGGCGGGTGGGCGTGTGGCAGGAGCGGCGGGCGCGGCAAGAGCGGCGGGTGGGCGTGTGGCAGGAGCAGCGGGCGCGGCGGGCGCAGCAAGAGCAGCGGGTGCGGCGGGCGCGGCAAGAGCGGCGGGCGGGCGTGTGGCAAGAGCAGCAGGCGCGGCGCGGCGGGCGCGGCAAGAGCGGCGGGCGCGGCAAGAGCGGCGGGCGGGCGTGTGGCAAGAGCAGGGCGCGGCAAGAGCGGCGGGCGCGGCAAGAGCGCGGGCGCGGCAAGAGCGGCGGGCGGGCGTGTGGCAAGAGCAGTGGGCGCGGCGGGCGCGGCAAAGAGCAGCGGGCGCGGCAAGAGCAGCGGGCGCGGCAAGAGCGGCGGGCGGGCGTGTGGCAAGAGCAGCGGGCGCGGCGGGCGCGGCAAGAGCAGCGGGCGCGGCAAGAGCAGCGGGCGCGGCAAGAGCAGCGGGCGCGGCGGGCGCGGCAAGAGCGGCGGGCGGGCGTGTGGCAGGAGCAGTGCGCGGAGGCCTGGCAGAAGCAGCGGGCGGAGATGCAGCAGGAGAGGCAGGGGTGGGCGTGGCAGGAGCGGCGGGAGGGGGCATGACAGGAGCAGTACGTCGCAGGCAGATGAGTAACGGCACGCGGCGAACCCTAGAAGATGGAGAAGGCAGGGGTGCGGCAGGAGCAGCAGGAGTGGGTGCGACAGGAGTGGGTGCGACAGGAGCGGCGGGCCCCCGTGGGGGCGCGATACGAGCAGCGTATGGTGATGACATGTGTGTGTGTGTCTATGTGTGTGTGTATGTGTGTGGGTGGGTGTGTTGTGGGGGTGTGTGTGGGTGTGTGTGTGGGTGTGTATGGGTGGGTGTGGGGTGTGTGGGTGTGGGTGGGTGGGTGTGGGTGTGGGTGGGTGGGTGTGGGTGGGTGTGGGTGTGGGTGTGTTACTATGAGAAGTGAGGTCCTGTGCTGTAGGTCTGGGCTCTGGAGGTGGGGGGCTGGACTTCGACGTCTGGGGGTCTGAGGGTCTGGGGGCCTGGAGGCACAGAGGCCTGGACCAGTACTGGGCCTTGGCTCACACAGACCTGTGGGGAGAAACATTTGTGTCACACACCAGAACAAACAGGAAGCACATACAAGAGCACAGCAAACCCACAGGGACAAACTGTAGACACCAAAATGTTTCTCACTCACTTTTCTTACATTTAAATTGAATTAAATTGGCACAGCCAATGAATATCTCTGCTGTGTAACTGAATATCCAACGTCTGAGTGAAACTAACTTCACCACGGTGCACATACGACTTTACTACAGGAGCTCTGTCAGATACGCTGATGTTACTCACAGGAGGTAAACAGTGAATACAATTTACTCCAAAACACACGGCAAATCCACGTTTACCTTCAATACGGACAGACAGACGTTTAGCTGCCTCTCATCTCCGGCTGTCATGACTACACTACAGGACTAAACCAGAACTAAACCAGGACTAAACCAGGACTAAACCAGGACTAAGTTAGAGCTGAACCCTTACAGAATCCTAAACCAATCCGGTGAATTTGTCACATTTTAAGGTCAATTGTATCTATTGTATTTGTTGAGCGCAGACAAGTTAGCCTAGATGTAGCCTGGGTGTGCTAACATGAGTACCATCTCTGACTGTTGCCTTCTGTTTTTAATTTTGCATTAAAAGGAAAGCATGAATGCACAAGGGCACATTTCTTTGAATAACCTCGTCGTAATCATGATCTAGGTATTGTTAAAAGGGTTATTTGCTACAGTATTGGTTGTTTTTTGTGTAACATCTTAAAATCCCGAAGCGATTAAAATATGAACATGTAAACTCACAAACCTCACGTTCCTCCCCAAAAAAGTCTTGTAGTCCGAGTGAGAGGGCGGTCAGTACAAGTCTGCTGGAAATAATCCAAAGATCCGGCTCGTGTAGGTAAAAATATTCAGAGAGAGTTTAGGTGTGCAGTTTCTCGTCTGGAGAAAAGTTTGTAAAGATTCCAATGTTCAAAAAACGCACATAGCAACAAAAATAACAACAGCACGCACGTGCGCACTGACGTAAGCACGGAAGCGACTTGGCGTTTTACAGACCATATGTAACAGATAAAAAAAAAAAAAAAAAAAAGTGAGTCAATGATTTAAAATATTGTTAAAAACATGATTTATTTATATCATTCTGTTACATTTAAAAGATAATTCATTTGGGACAAAAAGTATAAATGCTAAAAATTGTACAATTACATATTTACAAGTTCGTTCTTTTTTTGAAATAAAGTCATGGAGTAAGGACGTGAACTGCGTCTCTGTCCTTCATTGTCTACAAAAAGCAACCACGTATCTCTCCCACACTGTAGGAGTAGAGGGCACAACATTTTGGAGGCACCGCTGGGGGCTGAGGGAGCGTAACACAGAGGAGGGAGTCATCCAGAGACTGAAGGATGAAAATGGAAGTTGCCCTGTTTTCCACCCCAAAACACTGATCTCGTAACATCTATAGCCTACAATACAAGTGCTAAACACACATCCATGTAAAATGTAAGATACCGATTTGGATGACATGTAAATAGACCTGTATAGACCCAGTGTTAGCCCCAATTCGTTTTTTAATGAGAGCTAGCTTAGCGTTAGCCATCTATCACCGCAAACTATGAAATACCAGGAGTGTTTTGGAGACCTACAACCACTCAACTACACGTGAGTAACACCAGAGCCTCGATACAAAACATTGCCACATGTAGAATTGTTTTTGCATAGTTCATTGACGTAGCGATTAGCACCAAAATTAAGTTATATGCTAACAACCACGTAATAAACATTTTGTAAATCTAATGCTATGCTGGACAATGATACACTAAAAATAAAGAGGGCCACAACAGTTTGACAAGAAACCCCTCGATTTATTTCATCCAGAGCCACACAAATCCTGCATACAGTAACTTTAAAGAATAGCACTGATTGACACATATAAGTAGACTGTGTCCTCAGCATTAAGCACCTCACTCCTGGAATAACTATGGCACTTTGTGTCAGGACCTGATACAACTTTACATTTGTTGTCCTGAGTATATATTTATTGCATATCTTTATACATGATTATGCTATTACCATGACACAATGTGTTTACAAGTGCACACCTCACTGAATGTGTAAATGTAATGTGATGTTATAGCGAATCAAGCTTGTCATTTTGGCTAAAGTCTGCAATTGCTGTAGTTCATTTTATTTATTTCGTGTCTTCAGGTGGAGAACAGATGCTGTTAAGAAACCCCCAAGGTGTGTTTGCTTTCCAAAAACTAGTTTTCAGTTACTGTATGTTATGCCCACTCATGTTATTGATCATATATTTGGTAGGTGACAGCAAGAATGGAAGAAGACCCCAGCCAACCTACATGCACAGTGAACCATCCAGGATTTGGGCCTGTGTGTCTCAGTATATACTCCCTTCAAAATGACATTAACGTGTACAAAGCACAGCACAGTTTGGACCAGAACATCAGCAATGGTACAGTGAGTTGACTTTTTCAAAATGGTACCAAGTTATTGTCAAACAAACACTAAACATTATAATGAAAGTACAATCAAATAAAACAGATGGTTATGCACATTGCATCAATAAATACTTAAGTACAAACACAAATATAAAAATATTTCACAAAAAGTATTGCACACCATGTAACTTCTTTTATACTTCAGTCTCGCTACAAGCACACCCAATAAAAAAAACTTTAAAAAACACAAATAGAGTAACTCTAAGTACTGCACACTGTATACATTTAAATACTGTATATATTTACTTTAGTCTGCAAACACAACTCTACAAAGAAATAACTAAATACACAAACAAATAATTAGAATAAATAAGTTATTGTATACTGTAACTATAACTTCTTTTTCACTTCTGCACACGTAAGAAACAAGTGCAAAAACACAAACATAAATAGATAGAATAAACAAATAATTATTGCAGGCTGTCTAATCACTTCTATATGTGCTTCAGTTGTTCCTCTTGAACTTGAGAACAACATCCATATTCCCTTGTGTTCTCCAGTTGTGCACAGAATCTGTTGGCACACACTGCTGTCTGGATCCAAAAAACTACACCCTTTCAAACCGATCAGTACCTGGTAGAAAAATAATGTTATCATTTATATTTAAATTTTTTTTCAAATATTTTCTCATTATAACATCAAATATTTGAGTAACTTATGTAATTCACAGTTCTGTTTTTACAGTATTTAACCCTTAAGAATAGAGACAGTTTCTGAATAGTTAAAGATATAATCAAAATAACAAGTGAGTATCTGGTGTTTTTTTCTTTCAACAAAAAGGTTCAGATAAATACATAAACACACTACATTCTGGTGTTGTGTCTTTGGGCAGGACACTTAAAGCTCTTGTATTACACAAAATTGACTCTTGGAACTCTTAAAGAGCTAAGAAAAGTTAAATATTGGTGCACACAATGCACCTTTAATATTTGAATTTTTTTGAAAAGTCAATGGGAAAATAGTATGGGAAATTGTACTTCCAAAGCCAGAGTGATCACTGTTGGACTCCACTGTTTTAGAAAGACATTACAGAGTGTAATGCTGTTATCAGTGGACTCTCAGTTTCCTGTTTCAGTTGAGTCTCTCTCTTCTCCTCTTTCTCTCAGAGCCAGTCCTGACCCAGACTCTGACCCATGATGCACCTCTCCTCCGTCTCTCCGCTCGTCTCTCTTCTACATCTCACGTTTTTGTTTTTTGCTCCCGTTGCCGTGGAGACAACAGTGAGGGGTTGCGTTGATGGCAGGGACAAAGATCACCGACCACTGATTAACTGCACCTCAGCAGGTTACAGAGACGTGCCATCGGGAATCGAACCGACAACCAAGGTCAGAAAACGCACTACTACTATAAAAGGGCTCATATTACACTATTTTCTGATCTATGTTCAAATGTTGTTTCGTCCCCCAAACAAACCTGGACCTATGTTTTATTTCATTCACAAATGTTTAACACACAACCCCTGCAGATTTAGTTCTTCTCTCTTCCACCTTGTGATGTCATATGGTAATACAGGCTTCACTGTGTTTTTAAACTCCATACATTTTCACTAGAATCATTTGGACCATTTCAGTCCTGGAATTTAAATTTTTTTCTAAACAAAATATAAAAGATAGCTGCTAACTTTTGAGGGTTGTTGAGGTAGCAACATTCTAACATGGCTTGAAGCTCACAAGAGTCAATTTTGTGCAATCTAAGACCTTTAAAGGTGCATTGAGTGTTTTTTGGGGTTTTTTTTTGCTGGAGGGCTTTTAGGTGGAACTACCCATTTGTCTCCATGGAGATGCTATTCCTTTGCCTGGACTGAAATGCCAACTATATTGCCAAGATTAATTACCGTATTTTCCGCACTATAAGGCGCGTTCTTAGACCTCCAACCCCATCAAAAAACGACTGTGCACCCCACAATCCAGAGCGCCCTATACATGAATCCACTCGGGTGTCCCAGCACGACTTCAGTAAAGCACGCAAACACGCACGGAGCAGACAGCGACTGAGGAACGGAACGGAGGAACGAACCGAAAAAGCGAGTGCAATGTGCCACTTCTAGACACAACTGAACAATTGAGTCACTGCAAACACGCCGACAATCCAGCGGTCCCAGACAGCACCCTCCCTACACGCCACAACTGAACAAAGCCCAGAGTCACCGTGAACGCCACAAACAAAGTCCCACTGACCCATCTAACTGTTGTGTTTCGTTTAAAGTCCGGTGTGATTTATTTGTGAAAAAAGTTTGAAAATAGACCATTCTATAACCCAGAGTGCCCAAAATGCAGAAAATACTGTATTTTATTTCAGTTATTTTCAATTGCAAGCAAAATATCTTAAAAACAGCCATTCTCATTGTGATTGGAGTTGCCTCTCCACAGATCTGACCTGCAACTTGGGCTAATACACCACTAGCTTGTCTCCATTAAGAAAAATATAAAAAGTTTAATGACATTACTGTGGAACATTCCAGGCAAAACAAAAACATGTCTACCAGAAAAGTTACAGAAAATACCTTGAAATATAAAATATTAAACTTGAATACACATATTTTATCTGTGAAGAGTGGAGCATTTCCTGTTGCCTTGTATGGGCAGATTGATTTGACAGCTCTTGGCCACTTCCTGTTGATAAAAGTCCAGCGAAGTGTCTAATGCTTCCTGTGTCATTTTTCTGTTTTCTGTCAGGTTTTGTTGTTTCCTCAAAACCAGTTCTCACACCCGTCCTGGACCTCTTTCACTGTTTTCACCGAGATCCACGAGATCGACCTCAGCAGAAACCAGGTCTACTATATTATGCATATTATTATTTTCTCTTATAGTTAACTCATGTTTAGAGATAATAATATTTGATAATAAAACCATGCATGAGCACTGATTCATAATTGTGTAGGTGCTGGGTTTTAGGGATCAGAGAGAGGCTTTTTAGCTTTAAACCAATGAAATTTCCCATTGAAACTGGCAACCCATTCTGTTTTCTGATTGGATAATAATCTTGAACCAAAACACCAAATTATAAATTTTTTATTGCACTTATCACGTATGAAAAACCCATAAAAGTGTGGTAGTAAGATACTGGAGTAGACTGACAGAAGCATGACTGACAATCTGCACCATCTGCCCGACCAACCACCGCCAATCTCTCAAGATACTATAGTGTGCATACTAAGATTTGGCAGAGTTTCTTGAACAAGTTGTTTGAATTGCTGAATTGAGATCTCTCTTCTAAACCTGTCTCCTGCATATCCAGATTCCTTCCCTCACCCACAGTGATGCTCCGATCCTGCCCAGCCTCGCAGTGCTTCGTCTGGGCTTCAATCAGCTCCGAGCGCTTCCTGATCACTGCTTCTCTAGAAGTCCAGCTTTGACCGAGCTGTACCTCCAAAACAACCTGATCAGCTCCCTCCAGGACCAGTCTTTCTCTGGACTCAGTAAACTCGAGGTGCCTGATACAGTTTAGCAAACTTATTCTGTAAAATCAACTTATCAGAACTTCTAACCATGTTATAGTTTTTTAACCATTTACTAACCTTCTAAAGTTGTATCTGGAGTGATTCATGCATGTCTCAGTCATCTTTAATCGCTTATTTTCGAGATGCTATTTTGCCAAACAACCTCTGTTTTAACCTTCATGGTACACGCCCACTGCTCTCTTCTTCCTTCTCCAATTTTATTTTCTTAATCAGTGATACAAGTTTCGGTCCAAATATAAAAAGTGCTCTTCTCCAGTGTGACGTGTCTACAGGAGGGGCCCACAGCATTTGGCGCGTTGTTGTCATGACATTTACAGCAATGTCAGCTCCCATTGAACAGCACCGTTTTCAGCAGACTTGTTTAGATGAATATAGTGATTTAAAATGGGGTCAGTCCATATGAAATCAGCCGCCCTCCCCTATGAGCCATCTCAGATTTGGCTGAAAACCTTTCAAAAAATTTCCAAAATTACCAAATGAAAGAATCTCACATTTTAGCTCATTCCTTTGAGTCATTCCTGAGTTATGGCCCGTTGAAATTTTGGGGCCATGCTCACTTTTTTATTTAGAGCTTGTAAAAAAAAAAAAAAAAAAAAAAAAAAAAAATTTTACATTCTTTATGTTTTGTGAAACCCACTCAAACATCTGCAGTGTGGTCAATATTTGATTGCTGTTGTCTGAAGACTTGTCCCTTGCAGCCGAGCCATTTACTGTGCCACCAAAACCATCACAAACAATGTAGCCACAAATAATCTCCAATTGTCTTCCCTTATAACAAGCAAATAGTGTTTAAGTCTATTAAAGATAATTTAAGTTTTCTAGCAGGTGGAAAAGTCCCTAAGCTCCACCAAAAACGACCTGTGAGAGCTCATTTTCAAAAATTCCGTTTGAAATGAAGGAAGTTAATAGTAGATGTTTTTATTACTTTAAACTAATCAGAATATGCCAAAGTTTCTCTGGTAAAAATTTGCCCACATGGGAAACCAAGGGTCCACAGAAGGGGCCAAAAAGATCACATTTGATCTGTGACCAGATTTGGGACTCTACACCATCCACATGAAAGCTCAGAAAAGTGTGAGATTGTTGTCAGAAATGGTCATTCTCTCAAATATTCAGGTTCAACAGTTCATTTGTAAGTATCTGATTGGAGTAAAATAGATCTTGGTCCTCAAAAAAAAATTGAACAGCAACCAAATTTTTGGGGGCCCACAGTGCCCCCCTTAATAAAGATACCCAAGATTTGACAACAGATTGAGAATCTATGACTACTATAATCTATGAATCTACAATAATACACATTTTACCATCCAAGCTCTATTTTTTATAAAGTTATGGTCAAACATACTTAATAAGTTAAGGCATCTGAAAAAGTGAGCATGGCCCCAAAATTTCAATGGGCCATAACTCAGGAATGACTCAAGGGATCCATCCATCCATCTATTTCCGTCCGCTTATCCGGGGCCGGGTCGCGGGGACAGCAGCCTAAGCAGGGACTCCCAGACTTCCCTCACCCCAGACACGTCCTCCAGCTCCTCCGGGGGGACCCCGAGGCGTTCCCAGACCAGCCGGGAGACATAGTCCCTCCAGCGTGTCCTGGGTCTTCCCCAGGGCGTCCTCCTGACATGCCCGGAACACCTCCCGAGGGAGGCGCCCAGGAGGCATCCGGAACAGATGCCCGAGCCACCTCAACTGGCTCCTCTCGACGTGGAGGAGCAGTGGCTCTACTCCGAGCTCCTCCCGTGTGACTGAGCTCCTCACCCTATCTCTAAGGGAGCGCCCAGCCACCCTGCGGAGGAAACTCATTTCAAGCGCTTGTATCCGCGATCTCGTCCTTTCGGTCATTACCCAGAGCTCATGACCATAGGTGAGAGTAGGAACGAAGACTGACCGGTAAATCTTCACCACAACGGTCCGATACAGCGACCGCATCACTGCCGAAGCTGCACCAATCCGCCTGTCAATCTCACATTCTGTCCTCCCCTCACTCAAGGGATTGACCTAAAATTTGAGATTCTTTCATTTGGTGATTTTAGACATTAAAAAAAAAAAATCAGCCAAATCTGTAATGGCTCATAGGGGAGGGCAGCTGATTTCATATGGACTGACCCAATGTCTAAATTATAACATAAAGATTCATGGGCAAATCTTACAGCTAACAGTAAGGAAGGTTTGAATAGGGCCTTAAAGAGATCGCTAAATGACTCAAACGTGCATGGATGACATCTAAAACCTCTTCAGGCATGTTTTGGATGAGAAAACAAGGTTATAACATGGTAGAAAAATAAACAATTTAATAATACTCTCTCTTTACAATATGGCAGTAAAATATTAAAGTATGTCACTTTTTAATTTTAGCTGACTAAATTAACTCTGACTTTGTTTAGATCTTGGATTTGTCGAATAACCACGTCCAAACTCTCCCTCCGCGCATGATGCACCCTCTGAAGGCCATAGAGACGCTGTATTTGGAAGGAAACAAGGCAAGCACAAAAACAGCTCTTTTATATTGGAGGATTGTAGTTTTGCAGTTTTTATCATTCTTTAATTTTGACTTAAAGGTGCACTGTGTAATTTTTCGGTTGGGGGTCCATTGCCTTCTTGTTTCTATGAATATGTCATTTCTCTGCCTAGAATGTTCCACAGTATGACATTAAACAGATCTTGCTAACATGTATTCAATTACAGGTGGTTTTATAGCTCAAAAATACCAATAAAAACAGACATTGTGACTGTGAGTGGGGTCGCCTCTCCACAGATCTGACCTGTAAATTGATCTGGTTTGATCTAGAAAAAACCTTTCTATCTTCATGGAGACCAAACCAGATCAAGTTATATAGTAATGTCAGTGGCGGAGCGTCAGGGCCTGCAAGTCCTTCTCTGCTGGCCAAAAAAAAATATCTGAATCACAGACTGATGTTAATTATTATTAAATAATTCCAAATGTTCTGTTTGCTTCCTTTCAGAGCATTTCTGCTGCTTGTGCTGCTTCCCCACATGCATTTTCATATTAAAGCATTTGACCAATCACATTTCAGCTGTCACTTGTTGCTAGGCAGAGTCAAAGTCAAAGAAGTGTCCCTGAGGCCTTCACAGTGCGTTCTGCAGGCCCTCCAACACAAATTAAATGTCCATGAAACTGTTGCTTCAACCAATCAGATTTTGATTTGGTATCGCCAGGGCCTTTATCAGGTGTACGACGTCACCGAATTCAGAGCCGCTGATTGGACAGTCAGAGAGCAAACCAGCCAAAGTAGCAAAATGCATCTGCAGCGGAACCAGGACTAAACCAGGTCTAAACCAGGACTACACCAGGACTAAACCAGGACTACACCAGGTCTAAACCAAGTCTAAACCAGGACTACACCAGGGCTAATCTTGGACTTGAGAGAGAGAGAGCGCGAGAGCATGTCTGCAAAGCACGATCGGGCGACAGCTGCACTTAGCCCCATGTGGCGCGCAGCACTGAGCGGAGTCCTGTCTGCGGTCACCCGACTACGCGGGCGCACCTTCGGGCCAGTCCCGGCAAACAGTTCTGGTTTAGTTCTGGTTTAGTCCTGGTTTAGCACCCCAGCGCTCTTCACTTCTTCTCTGTGCACCGCGCACCCGCCTCTCCTCACTTCTCCGTGCACGGAATCTCCACAGCTCTGTATACTGTGTTTCTGTTCAATAAGATGCTTTTATAACCATAAAATAGTTATTGAGGAGTGGAGTGTTTCAGACCGGGCACTAGTGAAGGCCTAGGTGTGAAATGCACGCTCAGCCACTGAGTAATGCCATACTGTGACACATTCTAGACAAAGCAATAACATCTCCATGAAGAAAAGCATTTGATGAACCCTCCACTAGAAAAGTTACACAATGCACCTTTAATTTAGTGGGATAATACCTGTTATAAATATACATTTCGCCAAATCAAGACTCTTTTATGTATTTTTATATATGTATGTCAGATCAAGGTGCTGCCTGATAACTGGTTCAGCCAGAAGAACGAGGTGCCCTATCTGTACCTCTCGGCCAATCCGTGGGCTTGCTCCTGTTCCCTTGGTTACCTGCGCATGTATCTGGAGGAGTACGATTACAACGTTTATGTGAAAGATGGACCCATCATCTCGGCGGATGCAGAGAGTGTGGTGAGATCTACAGCTTTTACACATTTTTTTTAAAGGCCCCATATTATTTGACTCTTGAGAACTTTTAGATATGTTCTAATGTTGTTTCCTCCTCAAAAACCTAACTGGAGTTGTGTTTTGTTTCATTCACATTCTACATCTCCAAAGCTCAAAATGCTCTGTTTCAACTTGTGATATCATGAAGTGGTAGTTTTCACATCAGCAGCTATTTTTTTTAACCTTTTGTTCAGTAGAGATTGGCAATTCCAGGACTGAAATTATCTAAATGGTTCTAGTGAAGGTGCACGGAGTTTAAAAACACAGTGGAGCACGTCCTGTGTTACTACATGAGGTGGAACAGAGTGTTTTCTGTTTAAGAGAAGAACTCAGTCTAAATATGCAATGTTGAACGTGTGAACAAAACAAAACACAACTCCAGGTCTGTTTGTGATGAGGAAACAACATTATAACATTTTTATAAAATAGCGTAACATTGGGCTGTTTAATATAGTCCAGTGCTCACTACAAATACTGTATTTTTCGGACTATAAGGCACACTTAAAATCCTCTCATTTTCTCAAAAATCAACAGTGCACCCTATGTATTAATTCTGGTTGTGCTTACTGATGAATCGATTTTATGTGGTACACTGTGCTCAAAAATCTCGCAAAATGTTTCAGTATGACTCGCTATGAAGCTACGAAGGCACTCCGCTTGATGGATTGTCTGAGCATTACGGCTACTGTAGTCAGGACCCTCGCAGAGTAAGTCGTGTGCTTTAGTCCAACAAAAGATGACCACATCAATGCACATGAAGCAAGCTATTTTTCAGCACCTATAGTTTATGCAAATGTGTCATGTGGCTTTAAGTTTCATCTCTGTAAAACGTAAACAAATGTGCATAAAGCTGCATTAAACACATTATTACTCATTGCATATTTGAGTTGTTCTTGTAGGAAATAAAAAACAAACTTAAACGATCCGATCACATTCACATTCATAAGCCACATTCACCAAGACAGGGAGGCAACGCCAGGCGAATTACGCCACGATCTTCCAATAGATCGTGGACGCCTGGGCTAAGGGATCAGTCTCAAGTGTTATACCCCTTATAATCCGGTGTGGTTTATGTATGAAAATACACAAGAGAATACAACATTATTGATATTGCACCTTATAATCCGGTGCACCTTATAGTCCAAAAAATACAATAAATACGTCTTACATACATCAATGTTTTTTTTTTTCAGATTTGTGACAGTCCACGGTCTCTAAAAGGTCAGTCTGTGATCAAACTTGAAGAATCGGACTTTTGTAATCCACTGACTCCCACTGAGCAAAGCCATTTTTTTGATACTACCACTCCTCCTAAGCCTACTACTACTACTACTACTGCTACTGCTGCTACTACTGCTGCAGTTCCCACTACTCCAGTTTGGACTCATGGTTATTACAAAATTGTCACAATATACGAATCTTACACAGTAGACTGGTCTGATATTTGGGGATCACTGCGAGGGGATGGACGAAGAGTCAAAAGAACGACTGTGCCGCTAACAACTGAACTCCCTACCACAACTTCGACAGCTCTCCCCACTACTACACCACAAACTTCTCCAGTATTGACAACTTCTACAGCTCTCCCCACTACTACACCACAAACTTCTCCAATATTGACAACTTCTACAGCTCTCCCCACTACTATGCCACAAACTTCTCCAGTATTGACAACTTCTACAGCTCTCCCCACTACTATGCCACAAACTTCTCCAAGTATTGACAACTTCTACAGCTCTCCCCACTACTACACCACAAACTTCTCCAATATCGACAACTTTTTCCACAACAATCCCACCTGAAATACAACAGACAACCTTTGTTACCCCCGAAACTTTTACAATGTCACCTCCAGGAGTTTATGAAGGTCGCATAATTAGCAACAACATAAGTAGCGACAGTGCGAGCCCTCTTGAAGCTAGGACCGTTTTTTGCTTTTGGCTCTTTGTAAGTTGCGCGTTTCTCTGTGTAGTTTCCGCTTTTTCGTCATTAGTAACTGCATTTAGGTTGTATTTTTGGTACAGAGGGGTTTATAAGTCATTAAAATGTATCATAGCTGGCAAGGAGCAAGTTAAAATGTTGAGTTATTGTAGAGATATTGACAAGAAACAGGCAAAATATCAAACTATGCTTTTTGTATCTAAGGATGTGAATCAAGTTGAGTGTTTTGTTAATTTAGGACCAAAAACCTGGACAGAAGAAGCACAAAATGTTGAAAAAATAATGTACAAGGAGGCAGTGTATCACGAAATTAGCAAAGAAGAAGAAATTGAAGCTAAACACGTGCTAGCAGAATGCACAGTTAGCCGAGAAGCTAACTCAGGCATGTCTAAAAAGCGTTACAGTGTTATTTTGAGGGAGGAAGGTGAAAAAGAGGGAGGGGAAACGGAGAAATGTGATTGGGTGGTCGGGGGCTGGGAGGTGGAGAAAGGGGCGAGTCCTGGGAGCAGTTGGGGGGAGTGGCTAGTGCAGAATTTGCCGAGCATGCCTTGGAGGGTGAGCGCGCCGCCCAAAAGGGAAGCGGAGTCACTGTAGTGTTGCGTGAATGAAAAAGATGAATGAGGAAGCTCACAACGGTCTACTCAATTTCCTTTAAAGGGCCCATCTCATGCAAAATCAACTTTTCAGTCCTTTCTACCTTCTAAGAGTGATCTGTGGGCCTTGTATATGTCGCCAAAGTGTTTTTTAGATTGATTTGGCATTTTTTTGCAGCGTATTTCTGCCACCCTCCCACGAGACAATGAACTAAAGCTGCTACAACGATGACGCAGCAGATACACCTATGATGCGTTTGACATAGCAGAAAGTGCTTCACACCTGCCCCCCTCAGTGTATTGTTCTACACTGCAGTGTACGCAATATAATAAGTTGATCTACTAGTGTTTATTAAATACTTTACCAATCAGTAATGTTCAGCTGATGTGGACGTGGTGCTTGAGCTTCGTGCTCCTCAAAGTCCTCGTCGTCTGATTCCGGGTCCAACACATGCGGCTGAACGCGCTGTATCTCCATGATGAATAAAAGTTTATTTCTACCACTATCAGGGTGCACGTCTGTCTCCCCCTCCCTCCCTGAGATGGGCGGAGGAAGGGCGGCTCACTCGTCGCCTACGTCACGTTTGGAGGGCGGAGCCTGTGCTTTCTCAGGACGGGCGGGGGGATGAGCAATAGTCGGCCTTTCATAGTTCCTGGTCTGTGACTTTCTCCAAGAAACCAGTATTGTGTTTGTATATGTGCAGAAGATACAATGTGAAAAGAGTTATTTTACATGAGATGGGCCCTTTAAGGAGTTTTTAATTGAAAATTTATGGAAGCACATTTCCACCAGTAAATTTTAAAAAAGCCTCATAGAAAGTCAGAATTTTTTTTATATTTTAGTTTTAAAAGTATAAAAGTCATAGTTATGACTTTCTGTGAGGCTTTTATTTTTTATTTACTGACGGAGATGGGCTACCATAAAAATCTGATACTAATCGGCAGTACACAGGATTACAGTCATACCATACTCCATACAGATGTACAACAACTCACCTTTATGTAACAGATAATACTCCCTACAACTGTACAACAACTCACCCTTATGTAACAGATAATACTCCCTACATCCTGTCAATCATCATAACATTGTTGTACTGTCTTCCTTTGACCTCTTGTATATAGCTAAGATTGTATATTTGATTACTTATTTTATTTTGACTTGTACATTTACATTTAAATAATTATGTTTTAGTTGACACCTGTCTCTTGCTTTCTTTTTGGCTACATATTTAGAATTTATTATTACCATTTATACTTTTTGCTCTTTGTTATTATATTATATTGTGATGTGTGGGCTCCTGTGTTCATGCGTGTGAATGGGTGAGTGGTTCCGTGTTGTAAAACACTTTGGGTGCCCTGAAGATGGAAAAGTGCTGTGTAAAAATGTGACCATTTAGTCGATACAAAAGCTAGTAGTACATGGGAATAGAAAAAGTACTACTACTACTACATTTAATGTTGAAAATGGCATTCAATTGCCTAAAGAAGAGTGTTTTTATTATCATTGTGGTATTGGAATTGGTATTGAGTATCAAGTCTATTCCTTAGTATTATCATGACAACACTAGTTTTTAATAATGTATAAATTTGTTAATTAATTAAACACAACTCTTTGTTTTTTGTTTATTTCACATGTTTAAATCATGAATGCTGTTGCTGTTGTTTTTGCTTTGACTAAAATGTTCCACAGTATGCCATTAAACATATTTACCTAGCACTGCATTTGTATCTTTAGCTCAAAAATCCCTTGAGAAACATGCAATCTTTCTGTGAGTGGGCTCATCTCTCCACAGATCTGACCTGTAAGTTGGCCAAGTTGCTTGTCGCCATGGAAATAAATAAGTTTAGAGCATCCAAATCTGAGTTACTTTATGTTATGATGTGTCTCTGTAATTTTAAGATTCAGAAGTATTATGTTAAAATTGTATCTTTGAATGTGGGGTTGGGACAGATTTCTTATGTTACAGAGTTTCCTATAAATAAAATGATTTGATTGAAAGCTTTTTATATTCAGTGTTTTTTTGTTTTTGTTTTTTTGTTTGTTTGTTGTTTTTTTTAAATGAAATTAAGAAATTACATCTACTAAACTACTACCAAATGACATCACAAGGTGGATCAGAACATCTTGAGCTTTGGAGATCTAGACAGACTAATAATAAAGGATTACTGAAACATTTAATAACCAATTCACTGCTTGCTTGAGTGATCGCTCATCTTTGACTCTAAAACCTTAAAGAGCACGAGGACAAGTTAGGATTAAATTCTGCTCCACATTTCTCCATTGAGGTAAAACAGAAAATATCAAGACACATTGTGAAATTATTATTCTACCCAATACACAAACAAGTAAAACCTTTTTTTTTTAACCAGTTCTATTTTATTTGGTGTCGTACAATGTTGGAAAAATGTAAACATGAGGACTAAGAATTATATTGTGTGACAAGCGGCCATCCAGTGTGAATTCGGATCCACTCGTAGAAATGAGCCACCTGGAAACAAGAACAAAAACAGCAGTTTATGTTAATGACTAGAACCAAGAACTCACTATTGATACTTTAACAGACATCATGGAAGCCCATTTCTGCCAAAAAATAAAAACTAAAAGCCTCACAAGAAGATAAAATTATGTGTTTAAAACTCATAATTATACATTTTCAAGTCATAATTAGGAGTTTTTTAAACTGACTCTGAACCTGCCATGTAAGTAGACGGGCTGGTACGACCACTTGACCACTTTTCTGGAGAAGCAATGTATAAACCCAATACAAGGAAAATGTTAGTTATTTTACTAATTCACTTCAGAAAAAAAATTTGAACTTTGCACATCAATTACTAGAAATGTGTGCATTGGAGGAGAGGGAGCAGCCCAAGAACACAGAGAAAAATCTCGCACACTCTTATTTGTAAATTGTGAGATTTATCAGGACAAACGGTGCAACGTTTCAGCACTAGGCCTTCGTCAAGCAAACAGAATGAAAGCTCAGGTGGCCATCTTAAATAGGGTGTGGCAAGCACCCAAGGGTGACAGGTCATAAAGAAACAGTGTACCAAAATCCCATAATTCAAAAAACAAAGACAATCAACATACAGTATAATGATAATAATAATGGAATATTAATCATTAGTAGAAAAATCATTGAATAATAATAGAAAAATAAGAAGAATATCTGGATACATATAGACATAGTGTATATTCACCCAACTATAAAATAATGCTGTCGTGCCATATACACATATATATATCTATATATATATATATATGTATATATATATATATATATATATATATATATATATATATATATATATATATATATATATATATATATATACAATGGATCTTAAAATATAGCTCACCCAAAACGAGAGAGACTTCATGATATAACAAATGCCTACAAAAAAAATGCTAAGATTGAAATCATCATCGAGTCCTTTTGGAGCTAAAGTTTGGAGAGTATGAATCCAAAATGCTTCCCATTGTTTAGGTGTCCGGTCAAGGTCCCCTCCTCTGAGCTGATTGGAGGGAGGACATGCTCAATGCCACAGAAACGGAAAGAACTAATATCGTGTCTCTGATCATTAAAGTGTACTGCTATTGGATAGTCCCGGTCTTTCCTTCTGATGGAGATCTTGTGCTCACTTATTCTTTGTTTGAGTTTTCTTGTGGTCTTGCCAATATAAGCTTGGCCGCATGGACATTTCAACATGTAGAGCACATGTGTAGATGCACATGTGATGACACTTTTTATGGCATATTTCTTACCAGTGTGAGGGTGTAAAAAAGTGGTCAGTTTTTACTGTATTATTGCATTGGGCACAGCTGCCGCGGTGGTAGTTGCTGCTAATTCACTTCACATAGCATCAAAATGTCACAGTTTTCAGTTAACAGAGATGGACACTTTGCACATAGTCATTCATATGGGATTTGTGTGGATATCTCTTTCATTTTTGTCTTTTTACATCATTCACTTCATTAACAAGCAAATGAAGCTTTGTGGAGAATGTGAAGCTGTCCTGAACTCTCCAGAGGATGGCTTCTCCAGGAAAAATACCCATGTGCCTGTATGGCAAGGGCAGATTCAAAGTCAACTTTAAAACTCATAATTATGACTTTTATATGCCCTCCACCGGTATTAAAGCAGAACTGAACATTAAATCTACTTATTATGTTATAAAGTTTATAAAGCTCCATTAGACCCAAAACAAATTAACCTGATGCTTAAAGGTGCACTGTGTCACTTTTCTGATGGAGGATCCACTACCTGCTTGTCTCCATGGATGTTATTGCTTTGCCTGGAATGTTCCTTGGTATGACATTAAACATACACAGCTAACATTTATTATTGCATGTGTTTCTATTGCTCCAAAATACAATCACTCTTTCTGTGAATAGGGGCGATGCTCCACAGATCTGACCTGTAATGTAGCGTAGTGCTGTAACCTGCTTGTCTCCTTCCTGACAGACAGGTTTAATCTATACTGTGGAACATTCTAGACAAAACAATAACACCTCCATGAAGACAAGCAGGTGGTGGAGCCTCCAATAAAAATCTTTAAACAGTCCCAGGCAGAAACTTTTGACAAGCAATTTCCACTGCTCCGTCCTTTTACCAGTGTGTAGACTCCAGGGAAGCCCGGCTCGCCACACTTGTCTCCCCAGCTCACAATGCCCCACAGGTAGGACACGCCCAGCTCATCTTCACACACCAGGGGCCCCCCACTGTCCCCCTGGCACGAGTCCACAGAGCCATTCAAATCCCCTGTGACAACAAACAGTTTAAACATGTCCTATATTACACAAAGCTGACTCTTGTGAGCTTTAAGCCATGTTAGAATGCTGTTACCTCCTCAAACATATACCTGGAGTTGTGTTTTGTTTCATTCACAAATATTTCTTTTACTATTAGTGTGTCTAAAATGATCCATATTAGTCTGGTACATAAAGTATTACCATATGACATCACCATCATAGATATAAGGGCAAAACACAGATCAGAAAATAGCTTAATACTGGCCCTTTAAGAGACCATTTTGGGCAAAACTGGGTTCCATCTTCATTCCATCATTCAGTACTGAACTTTTTTGCGCTTGTAACCGTGTTATAATGCTCTATCTAAGGCTACATTCAGACTGAAGGGCTTAATGCTTAAGTCAGATTTATTTATTTTTTTTTTTGGGGGGGGGGTGTCGTTCTCATTTCCAATTAAACATGATTTGTATGTGATCTCCAGGGTGAACTTTAAATGCCCCAGAAGCGAGAGCGAGCATTGCTACAGAAGTAGCCTAAACGTTGGGCAAGTCTCCCAAAATACAGTCCAGTTCTTTGTAAAATGGAC